TGATAGTGACAAGACTCGGCTTTGTAGGAATTGGTCCGAATAATTGCGACTTACCCGAGGTTAGAGGATCAGAGGAGGTCCTTGGGGGGGGGGGGGGGGATTTCGTTGTCGCCAGTATGTGAACGGTAGTGCAGTTCTAGATTCAACTTGGAGGCGGCGACGATGAGACTCATCAAGATGAGGGGACAAAACAAATAAACACTATTATAGAAAAACAACAGAGAAAGGATTTATTGCCCTACTTGATGGTGGTGTTACTTTGCGTGGGCGAGAAAGTACACAGACAACCAGAATGCATGTATATCAAAATAGGCTTTTATGATATGGAAGCATATATTTCTACAAATAAATCGTATATCACGCAAAAAAATAGCTCATACCTACAAAATTCAAATAACTTTGTAAGCGATTCAATTTGACTTCATATATCGCTTAACGTTTTTACGATTTAATTTGTACTCTTGTACGACGCAAAAAAAAAGAATATAAAAGAAGATACGTATTTTACGATAAAGCTTTGTTATTGATCCAACTGCTAAATAAATAGTGGACAAGTATATTTTTTTTTTCATTCAAAAATCGCTATTAAACATGCCAAATCTTGTTTTTCAATATACTTTCCAGATATTTTTTTCTATTTGCGCCTCTCTTAGCTCAGTCCTTAAAGAAGCAGCTAAAAAGAAAGACAATGTTGGAGGTGGAGGTGACTGGATTCGATTCCCGGTCTGGTATAGGATTTATTCGGATTGAAAATTTCTCGACTTCCCTGGTATAAAGTATGATTGTACTTTACAAACAATTATACTAACGCAAAACTAGTACACGCTTAGAAAGCCCTCAATTAACAACTGTACAGAAAGTTGAGGGCTGTCGTACAGTGAAAGTATGGACGTAATAATGTCGAAGAAGAAGAACAAGTTTGCACGATTTTTTGTTATTTTTACGAAATGCGTAATAAAGTCATCAAATAAAATAGGCATTTCACTAGTAATATTTATAAAACTGCAAAACTTATCGTTTGAGTAAACATTCCCTGGGTTTAACAAAACAAATTGATAAAAGCGGTTTTTCGCGAAATTGACCAAAATTTTGGAATATCTCATTCTCAGCAGGCTGTGGAATGATGACGTTTTGGGAAGAGTTGTCGAAAAAAGGTTAAACAAACAACTTTGCCGAAGATTTATTTTTGCTAGGATGCTTCTGTCAAAAGATATTCCTAGCACCATCTGAACGGCGTGATCTGATAGTCCTTATCCAACTGATCAACTTTGCCAAAGACACCAACCCTCTAGAATGTATGAGTGGAGCGCAACGATGTTTATCCAACACAAGAAACATTCTGTCCCAATGAGTCACCTGCACGGCAAGAAAAAAGTACCGAAAAGTAAGTTCTTTTCACTCATCTCGGCACTATAGTGCAGGAACCCAAAAGTAGGTAAAACGGGTCAAAGTAGTTTGCATTTGCTTGTGTGCAATTCGTGTGGAATTTTCCACTCGCTTTCTACCCAAAAGTAAGTTAGTTGCACCCAAAAGTAGGTGAATATGATTATTCTCAACGTTGAGTTCCCACACTTTACTACCCCTGTTGGGTGGTTTTACTCCTCCGTTTTTGACAACATTAGAAGGAGGAAAGGAGAAAAACCAGTCAAAAGTAGGTAAAAGTGAACTGACGTTGGGTACTTTTTTCTTACCGTGTGGTATGTTAAGTAAGAAACTTGGTCTTTAAAAAAACGTCATAATGATGCAAATTTCAAAATATTGCTCAGCGAGGTATGGTATAGAAATTTTAAACCACTTCTATTTTTCGAACCAAGTACTTTTAATAAATTTGATTGTTTTTCTCTCTAGGAAATTTTACTCAGTTTCAGTTCAAAAGGGAAACTTACTCTAGTCACTGAGTAAACTCCCTTTCGAACTGCAATTGTGTAAAATTTCTGAGATAGCAAAATAGAGGGCAATAATATTCTACTCAGACATTGATTAGAACTGAAATAGAGTGTATGGAACAAAGCCTCCCTAATAAAGATAAATTAATTAATTAATTGTATGGAATAAACGACAACTTCTTTTCTTTCTTTTTCTTCTTCGCATTTCAAGCTTATTGCTTATCTCATTATTAGTTTATTGCGTGCTCTCAACTTAGTGTTTTAGATGCACTTCCACAGGTCTTAATTGAGAGCTTTCGATGGCTGTACTATTTAGGCATTAGTATAATTGTGTGGCAAGTACAATCATACCATAGAGGTAACTCTAAGACCACTGGGTACCGAAGAAAATCATTATTATTTTTGGCTCACTCAGTACCAGAACAACGGTCCCAAGCAGTCCCAAGCTATTTCACTCACCCCTGCATGTTCTGCATGAATCCACACACCCCTGATGTTATCTGTCAAACTTTCATAGCGAATCAAAACAAACATAGTGTAGTAATAGAATTTCAACTAGAATAGGGTACGTTAATCGTTTGCTTGGGACCAATAGGCTACTAAAGTGGTGAGCTAATTTAAAATCGTTAGTTCCGTATTGATTGTTGGTAAATCTGAGTAGCAACGCTGTAAAAGAGCATTTTTCCTAGGTTTGAAGAGCATTTCATCGTTTTAATATTAAAATAATTAAATGCTCCTGTTGTTGTTGTGATGAAATTGGTGCTGTTGTCTGGTACATATGTATTATATATAACATATTATCAAGTATCAATTTACTCTATTTTGTCATTTTTTAACTTTTCTAAGTGATTTCTAGCGATATAATAGAAATTTCAAATGCTTCCATATCATTATGCGCTTTGGTATTTAGAGTATCGTGAAAATACTCGACCGTTGAAAACATTTGTTCCACGTCAATCACAAAGCGAAAAGCATGTAAACAAACCGATTATTAAAACACCACCCCGAAATACGTACCCGCTTCTGAATATTGTAGAAACAAAATCAATAAATTTATGCTGAAAATGGTGTGGACATTTTGTGGTGTGACAAAACATTTCAGCTGTGAGTTTAATTGGGGGCAAGTTGCAAGTTGCAAGGCAAGTTGCTTTAATGCTGAGGATCTTCTAAAAATTAAAACATAGACCAAGGTTAAATGCCTTCACCTTATCTCATTTAAGTCTTTTTCTATGGGTACTATCTCAACATGATATGCAACTCGTTACCAAATAAATAGCCGTGTAATATTTTTAAATTAAGCATTTTTTAAGTTTTCTCTGAGCAATCTTTTCGATAGTACTCTGCACATTGATATTTCAAATAATTTTTTCGAGAGTTTATATTCGTTGAAAGATTCGGAGATTTAATTAATACGTCGATTAAACACATATCTTATAGATCTAAAGGATGATTCCATGTGCTGTACAAAGTCCGTAATTTTTTAATCATAAAAAAAAACTTCTTCTTCTCCTAGGCTTTTTACACTTCTGTAGAAAATGTTTTGCTGGCTCTCAACTTAGTGTTCTAGATTCACTCCCACAGTTATTATTTGAGTGCTTTCTATGCCGACCAATGTATGATTTTGAACAATGATACTTTGTCCAGGGAAGTCCAAAAGATTTCCTACCCGAAAGATTTCCTTGACCGGACCGGTAATCGAACGCACCATCTCCGCCTTGGTAATACCGTGCCTCTACAGACTAGGCTATCTGAGGCCCAAACAAAAAATCTGCATTCTTTATATTTTTACAATAAATCACTAGATAAAAACGAAACTAACAATTTTAAACAGAAAAAAAGCTGAAGCTATTTGTCAAATGACTTTTGAGCACTACTGTAATATAAATGAACCTGCAAACCACGTAATTTTGATCTGCATTTGATAATTAAGCAATATCACGTAGATATTTCACCGGAGATGCCGTGTCAATGATTGAGGAATAATGATTTGAGATTTACGTGAAGTTTTTTTTTTCTTTTTGGAAATTACCAGTGTTTCCAAGTCTTCTAAAATTGCATCTGAGGGCGTCATAAAAATGACGAGTAGAGCACTAAAAAAAGGCAAATTCTTCACATATGTTTCTTACGATAAATGTAATGGTAGTATTTATAACAACCAGAACGAGAAAGTCAGTTAGAATTTAGTAATCAATGATTGTTAATTCGGCGTAGATTCATTAATAACGGACTGTAGTCACTAAGGAAACAAACGCTGAACTTGTGAAATGTTAGAACAGGAAGGAACTCAGTCCACAAATGCGTGTCCATGATAAAACCAATTCGATTCTAAGAATTAGCGTTCACAGCATTCCCTCTCGCCTTAATCAACACCAAAACATGTGTGGCTAAATTGCCCGATCATCAATTCAAATCGATTCCGTAGGCTTTTACATTTCCATTGAAGATCATCATTAAAAACTATTTTCCAAAGAACTTATTTTGGTTTTTCATAAAAACAACATTATATGGAGATATCTACACACACAGGCCTATTGCAATATTTTGTAGGGGAAATGGATGTAATGTCGGCCTAAATGCCCCTAATTTGGGCCCATACATAAATTCAGCAATCGACTAAAATTTTAATATCGAAAAAAAATAACCATTAGTACCGTCTCAATGACGCGTTCAGTTAGGTACAGTTGATAAATAACAGATTTTTAGCGATGGGCCCAATCTTAGATCCATAGGCCAACATTAGAGCCATTTCCCCTACTTTCCAATAAAATCCAATCAAACTTTTATCGAATCATGCATCCATTTGTCCTGATGTTGCTTCAATATTTTTACGACCAAGCATTATAGTGATTAAGTAACGTGGTAACATGTCTCAAATATGCAATTTTTCCAGTAGCTACCACATTTGCTTTGCCAATTTTGATCTGCTTTGACAATCCTACGCTCACATGTTGTCCGAAAGCGTGCCGTCAGCTTCTTAGCGCGCGCGGAGGCTTGATAACTGTAAACTTTTTTCGCCAGTTCCACTCCATCCGAGACCAAGTCGCTATATCTAGTTTTGAAATAACCGCACCGATTTCTACTGGTTTTGAATCCGTTTCATAAAATAATACATACAAGGCCTTTAGTTGGTCACTAGATCACAGTATCTTCCCCTAAGAAAGAGCTTTAACAATGCACTTTTGATGTTCACACTAGGCGACACAAACCACTGCAAGCTGTTCACACGAGGGAAACCCCTTTTTCTGCTGTGTTTATACGATAGACAAGAAGTGAATTAAAAACCGCCGACACTGCGTTGTTAACTCTGCGACAGCAAACAACGGTGTGCAAAGCAAAATAGTAAAACAACAATATAAGTATAGGTAGAGAGATAGATCGCGATACTAAAAAATCTCAACGCGCGTCGCACTCAAAATCAAAATGCACGAGGCACGAACAAACCGCTAAAACGATCGTGCCTACGGATCTCTCGCTGGTTGAAATCGGTACATTAGAGTTCATAGAGGAACGAATGAAACAAAAATAAGGAAGCTGGAAAATCTACAGCTTGTCTTGAAAAATCGAATGCATATCGTCCAAGGAGCAGGATTGTGTGGACTGAACTAGTCACTTTTCATGCAACATACAACTTCGAGTAGTGGAGCTGCAACTGGTTTCTTCTCATACGCTAAAGTGACTAGTGTCATGTTTCGTGGAGTATAAAGCCCCGCAGTATCAATTTTTACCCTGCGTTGAAAATGTTTCAACATAATCTTTTGAATCGTAATCCGAGGGCAATTTGATCACTGGGGTGAAATTTTCGGTAATAGCTGTCAAGAAATATCTTCTTAGTATTTTATCAAGTGGCTCTAATGATTGTTTTGATGAGTTCTTTCAAAACAGTATATATTTTTGCAAAAATTTCTGTTTTATTTCACTGGCTTCAATATCATCATTTAAACAAACGATTATAAGGCTGGAACAACTGTAGCCATTAGCTTGAGCACATTTGTTTTTTACTGAATCAGAAATATTAAAAAAATTACGTCAAAAAATACAATGTCAAGAAATTAGAGAATATTGAATTTCAAATTTCTAACATTTTTTATTTAAATTAGGGCTGGGATTTTAATCCGGATATCTGGAGTCTGGATCACTGCTAACGGATTTAATCCGAATATCGGATATCCAACGGATCACAAATATCCGGATAATATAAATCCATATATCCGAATTGCCCCATACTGCCAAATGTTTACAAGTATGATTCAATTCAACACAGTGACCTAGAAACCATTTTTTGTAAGTGGAATAAATTGTTTGTGCCTAAATCATTAGTTTTAGGTATATAGTGTCTTCGAGAAAGTTTTTTTCATTTATTTTGGCCAATCTTTTTATGTGCAAGGCTTACGGCGGTTCATACAGTTGATGAGTTCCAAATATAAACTTTTTATATTCGAGATAGAACTATGTAGTTATTTGAAACAACTTTGCTGAAGGAAGCAATTCACCTAAAAATCGGTAGCTTCGGTAATTTTTTATACAGTGATTTATCATAAAATATATGTTCTATACACTAGACACTAGTTTTAAATATTATGGCGCACTTTTTTAACAAAATACTTAATTACTACCTCATTTTGTTGAAAAGCTATAAACGTTTTTCACTAAAAAAAATACGTTATTTTCAAACGGTTATGATGCATTTGAATGATCATAATTTCATTTATCTACGGTGAAGGTTTTTATTTAACACTCCGAACACGATGCCTCCGAAAAAATATGTAATGGCAAACAAGCAATGTTTGTAAAATCATATCTCAGCCATTTATTGACAAATTTCAAATCTGCCATTTGAAACTACATACTTTTGTTCGGTATCAATATATTTAAAATCGATCGATAAATTGCTGAGCAATGATTTTTTAAACATTGTCGATTTTCCTTTACACATTTTATCGGAAGCATCGTGTTCGGAGTGTTAATTAATTTAATTTAAAATAATTCACTTATTTTTTACTGAAAACTGTTCATAAATTACCAACAAACAGAATTAGCAGCTTCAGCAAAAATGTGCGATATAAAATATTAAAACATGTCTAGAACATACTGTTTACCAGGTAGGCAAGTCTACTATAGTAGAAAAGCCTGGAAAACCGGGAAAGAGTCGAGAATTTATATTCACCATAAAAAACCGGGAAAATCGTTTTTTTCTAATAATCCTCCAGGAAAATAATCTTTTTTTTATTAATTTCAATATAAATAAAAATACCATACGCGAACGATAACCCAAATGATTTAACTATTCCACAAATGGTTTGGATGAGACCCTGAACACATAAATACAATTTACTAGGGTGATAATGGCACATAATTCAAAACTAAAAACAGCCTTCCGAAGTAAAGGCCGGCGCATAATAGAAACGTTTTCGGGTTTTTTGACAGATAATGCATGGGCTAGCTGTCAAAAAATCCGAAAACATATCTATTGTGCGCCGGCCTTAAGCCGCGCAATTTAAATGACGTGTTTTGAAATCTGTGTGTTTTTATGGATTTTATCAAACTTTTTTTTTTCCTTTGGTTGGTTTTTTTCCGTCGATCTTGTTTTCCGTGCTGAGCACCAATGCTACCGACGTGCCAGGAAGGCAGCTCCTACACCTGGACCCTACCTATCGACCCATCAACTCATGAACCGGGGACCAACGGCTTTACTTCCCATCCAAAGGAAGGCGTGATCAGAGATGTTATGCCTCAGAACATCCCGGCGGCGCCGACTGGGATTGAACCCAGGCCTGCTGGGGTGAGAGGTAATCACGCTTACCACTACACCACCGGCGCCGATTTTTTTTATCAAACTTGAACGATTAAAACTTAAACATTGATTGTGTGAAAAGATCTGATTTCGAATTTGGTTTCCGGAAGATGCTATCGGTGAAAAAATAGAAGAAAATGAAGATTTTTCACGGCGTTCTTCGGGAGCAGTGTGCTGAACAGTATGTGTCTGAAGGATGAAAAGTGCACACTTAGAAATTATTATTTTTACACGAGACGTAATTCAGCTTTGACGTAAATCATGGAACGTAAACAAACATGGCAGGTAAATTTAAGTGTCCTGAAACTGAAACATATGCAACTCGACGAAAAGTGCGTTTGACAGAATTGATTTTCTGGTCCTTTACAACTGATTCTTATGTCAAAAGGGCCGCTTGCATGTGTCGGTCTCAGGGCACTGAAATTCAATGAGGTACAGAGAGAGGTGGCGTGAAATAGGGTTGTATTTTTTTTTTTTTTTTTTTTTTAATAATGCGTTTATTTTTCCAGGCTCATTTGCCGTAGCTTTGCGGAGCCGATATTCATCGTTTGGGTACAAAATTACTTAAAACTAACGTTAGTAAAGCGGGGGCCGATTACTCGCGGCTTTCTCGAGGTTAGGGGTAACAAATTGTAACAAACGGGTGGCAGGGTAGGGATTGAGAACACAAGGTTTTTTAGAGCAATGTGCTCTTGATCTAGAACTAAGCGACATACTGGAGAAAAAGACAAACATGGGGGTACACCGATGGAGACCTAGCAACTTGAGAGAACACAAGATGACACTAACTACTAAATCCTCAGATCGATCCGTTTTAAAAACACATAAATTAAATTAAAATAATCGAGATCTCGGCTCGCCAAGATGTCTCTAACGGGCCGCATAGGTTGTTTTCCTCGGGCCCTGAGGGATGCGGATAACTCGGATCTAGCAACACAATGTAAAGTGCATGACCAAAGTACGTGGTCGATATCGTGATAGCCACTACCACAAGCGCACAAATTGCTGCCTGCGAGCCCGATTCGGAAGAAATGCGAGTCTAACGAGTAGTGATTGGACATGAGCCTTGACATGACACGTATAAAGTCACGGCTCATGTCCAATCCTTTGAACCATGGCTTGTTCGACACCTGTGGGAGAATAGAATGTAACCATCTTCCCAGATCACTCTCATTCCATTTTTGTTGCCAGTTGGTGAGGACGTGCTGACGGGTAATTGAAAAAAATTCCGCAAAGGCGATTTGTCGATCAAAAATATCGCCTTCCATAGCGCCCACCTTAGCTAGCGAGTCCGCTTTCTCATTACCCGGAATTGAGCAATGAGATGGGACCCAAACTAAGGTGATAGTATAGGAGCAGTTAGATAAAGTACTCAATTTAGCTCGGATTTCGGTCAGGAAATACGAGGAGTGCTTCATCGGCCTCATTGATCGAATAGCCTCCAACGAGCTAAGGCTATCAGTAAAAATAAAATAGTGATCAGATGGTAGTGAGGCAATTTGCTCTACTGCGTAAAATATGGCTGCTAGTTCCGCAACGTATACGGAACAGGGTTTTTGCAGTTGATATGAGGCGCTATGAAATTCATTGAATACTCCAAATCCAGTGGAAGCGTTTATAGTTGACCCATCTGTGAAAAAACTCTTATTGTTACTAACATGGTGGTACTTGTTTGCAAAAATTAAGGGAACAACCATCGACCGATGGTGATCTGGTATTCCACGGATTTCTTGCAACATGGTCAGATCAAAATTTACAGAGGAACTATAAAAGTCTTGGAGGCAAACACGAGAGGAATTGAATGAAGAAGGGCCAATCTCCAGCGTCATGTACTCGTAATAGAGACTCATGAATCTTGTTTGAGGATTTCTGTCGAGCAGCTTCTCAAAATTTTCTATTACCAATGGGTTCATTACTTCACAACGGATAAGAAACCGGAAGGACAGTTCCGCGAAACGATCTGTCAGTGGGAGAACACCCGCGAGTACTTCGAGGCTCATCGTATGCGTCGAGTGCATACAGCCAAGCGCGATTCGGAGGCAACGGTATTGAACCCGTTGCAGCTTCAGGATATGTGTTTTCGCCGCGGATTGAAAACAGAAGCTACCGTACTCTAGAACCGACAAGATGGTTGTTCGATACAACCTGATCAGATCTTCCGGGTGTGCTCCCCACCAAGTTCCGGTAATTGTACGAAGAAAATTGATTCTTTGTTGGCATTTTTGTTTCACATACGCAATATGTTTTCCCCACGTGCTTTTTGGAATCGAACCAGACACCTAAATACTTGAAAGATATACTTTGAGTGATTGTTCTACCCTTTAGTTGAAGCTGTAACTGTGCAGGATGATGCTTCCTAGAAAAAACAACCAACTCAGTTTTCTCCGGAGAGAATTCGATACCCAGCTTCATTGCCCAAGTAGACAAATTGTCTAAGGTATCTTGCAATGGTCCTTGCAGGTCCGGTGCACTTGGCCCTATAACGGACACAACCCCGTCATCTGCAAGCTGCCTAAGCG